AATGTTCAAAATTATCTTGTCTACGCTATACAGGATTCACAGCTTTACTGTGGATTCTGACTAGCGCATCTGTGCTGAGGTCATCTTATGATCCCCACATGATGACAAATCAACTTTTACGTTTTAGATAAACCGATAGTGGTATTTTGATTTGATTTGATTTCATTTAGCCCGTTCAGGTACCCTATGGGCCCATGCAGGAATATCTAGCTATAATATTTACACAGGAGGAAACCATATTCGGTAAAAACCCCCCACAACTGTCTGTCTCTTGTCTATATGTTTTCAGAGGTTTCCTACAGGAAGTGCGTTTACACTGTACGTCCAGTGTGAATACCGTCCTATCCTTTTCCTGATCGCTCAATCCTTTCGCTGACTGCTGTCTCAACTTCTTCTGCAGGCCGGAACTGTTCAGGCCAGCCGTTTGTAAGTATCCACTCTGTAATTCTTTTCATGTCTTCTGGGCTGTTCATCATAGCTTCGAAAGACCTATCTTTTGCCCGTTGCAGCACCTCTCCTATTCCCTTAGCCCACTGAGGACAAGCCATGACCATATGTTTCACGTTTTGCGACGGATATCCACACTGGCACTTTGGATTTGCCACTCCAGGGACCATTCTTCCATAAAGATAAGAGTTGAGGCCGATATGCTCACTTCTTATTTGTATTGCAATACTACTTTGGGCCCTGCTCAGGTTTCGGTGGATGTTAGAGGGTGTGTTTCTGTAGGTGATTCTTTTTCTACCTGTTTTCTTGTCGGTGCTTATACTTGCTGGTGTCCAATGTTCTGGGTCTGCTGACGCCTGATGAGAAGATAGTCGATCTTCCTTAAAAGTATTCCATGCGGTTTCCCAGTCTTGGAACGCTCCTATCTTGCCCGCTTCTTTTTGTCTACGCCTCACTTTTTCGTTCCCGCAGATTTTATTCCACTCGCTAGTGTCTCGGCTTCGATTTTTTGCGTGGTTATTTTCGCTCAGGCTATGAGCCTGCGATATCATACTACATGCGGATAGAATCGTCTGCTTGATGGGTTGTCTTTCCGAAAGTCCGATATGTTGGACTCTCATTTGTTTGAGGTCGATGTCTAGTGGAATTATATGCCCCTGTGACTAGCTTCAAGCATTTTCTTTGGATACTTCGCAATGGTTTAACTATCCTTTCTGGTATTCTACCCGTTGACCTAGCCGCAGCCCATATTGGACACCCGTAAGTCAGGACTGGTCTCACAATCGCGCTGTACAAAAGCTTTGATTTCATGAATGTTGCACCCCAAGTTGATTGCGTTAATCTACTTATTGCCTGTACTTGGGTGTGTGACATTTGTACAGTATGCTTGATGTGGGAGCCCCATTGAAGCTTAGGGTCGAAGTAGATTCCGAGGACTCTGAGAGACGACTGTGGAGACGTCAGATGTCCTTGTATGCTGACAGTTGCTTCTAAGTTATGACGCTTCCTTGCTCGTGTGAAGTGCATGAGCTGATACTTCTCTGGCGCAAACTTCACACCGTTCTTTTCTGCCCACGCCTCGCATATCCCCGACAGTGGTATTTATATCTCAAGCTTTCTACAACTATAATAAAGATTGGTAATTACAGTCTCTGTACATGTATGTTTGTGCATCAGGCAGACCAAGAGGCCTGATAGTTCAGTGGTAGAATTCTTGCTTTGGGTTCCCTATATGTAAGAGGTCTCCGGTTCGATCCCGGATTAGGCCCGGACACGCCAGTATTTTTGGTTTGGGCTGTTTCTGCGAGCCAAGTTTAAAGTTAAGCAATCGAAAGCGAACAGCTATAGTTCGTGTTTCGTACATAGATTATTTGATTTTGATTTCATTTAACCCGATTTGGCGCCCTGTGGGCCCATGGAGGCGGCTGTAAACCTATCTATAAGCGCCAAATCGGGCTAAATGAAATCAAATTCAAAAACCTATCTATATATTTACATGAGGAAACATTGCGGTAAAAACCTCCTCCCCCTAACATGTTTCATATTCATCTATTGTCCTTCGTTACCTACAGGAAATGCAATTGGCCTTGAGTCCGAGACAGGACTAGCTAAAATTACACATAGATTATTAGTGTCCTACATAAAACCTGACAGGGGCCCAAAGCTGTCTAGCGATTCAAATACGAAGTGAGCAAATGGGGCTCAACTCGTATTTACAAGAAAAGTACCCGGAGTCTACAGACCAAGCTTTTTATGTAGCTACCAATCGCAGAACCCCAAGCACATGGTTATGTTCTACCCTCGGTGGTCAAGGGGAAGAGGAGAGATCTGGAGACAAGCGAAAGATCGGTCCTACGAAGCTATGCTAAATAATCCTGGAGATATCAAAAGGATAACACAGTGGATCCTAAATCAAGGTTGGATAGAGCAATTCCAGACGACAAAGGCGGACTAAAAGCTGCTGAGGGATAGAAACAGGTCAAGCCATTCTTGAGGTCGATAAAGATGGTGTAATTGGTTTACATGGAGGGCACTATAGTGTAACTGCGCTTCCTAAAGGATACAGTACAAAAAAAATAGAAATTAAACAGGAAGGTTTGGGGGGTTTTCACAAAAAGGTTTACTCCCATGTAAATTAGAAAGTATATAGACACCTGCATGGGCCCATAGGGCGCCACATCAGGAAAATGAAATCAAATTCAAATTTCCTAAATAATTATTGACTCAGTTAGGGGAACTAACCTCAACACCTGTCAGTGGTGTCCCCTACGAACCTCCAGCTCTCGCTGTAGAGTCTGCAGAGCCGAGATTGAGTAATAAAGTCCTCACTTCGATGTTGATTTCCAATCGCTTTCGCCATCTGTATCATCTTCATCTCTCAACACATTCCCCTGTCAACATTATCATGAAGCTTACCACCATCAGATTAAATGGTATATCGAAGCCCTTCTCATCACCCACCCTTGATCATGGAGGAAAAGCCATCCAATGAGCTTCCGGAGCGTACCCAGCACCTGATACGGCGATGTTGGATTGCATCAAGTCGGCCTCGATTGTTACAAAGAAGGGACATATAGATGAATATGCGCACCTCATATGGTCCCAGTGTCTAGGTCTCACTTGGCTGGGGATGCAGGTTTTTTGAGACTTTCTCCCGCGCACGCAGTTTCCATTGCTACCATTTTTATTTTTTCTGGGTAGAAGGTTCCGTGGAAAAGGTGGCTGAATTCCACGGGTAAATTCTGAGCTGAATGGCTATTCATCAAGGGGAATATATCAATGATCTTTCAAGTAACGAAAGAGGATAAGAGCACTGTACAAGGTGTGGCCTGGGCCAGAGAGGTTCCCAATATACTAGACAGTCATAGACTCAAGTCGTACCATAAACATATCACTTCATCCGTACACTACACAGACTAATCGAATCAAACCCTAAAATACCATATCTATTCTAGTAGGGGGAGAAAGCTAGGAAAGAAGAAAATGGCTTTAATAGACATATTAATATGCAGCGTAAAGCCAGCTAACTTCCCGGAACGCTTCAGAGGGACAGTCTTGCCTTCACACTCAGCCCTGTTACTAGTATTAAAGGAGCCCCGAATCCAGTGATTTCACTGACTTTTCCTAGCTGCTTTATACTTGAGAGGCACTGATCACATTATTATATAAATATAATCTAGTTAACGTAGCGCGCTGGACCAATGATAGGGAAACAGATTAGTGATAAAAAAACTACCGATCGCTACGCTTACCCGTAGAATGTAATAGAATATAAAATTTATTTATGACCCTATTGAGTCTATAACTATGAAGGACAGCTAATACTATCTATATAGCTTTAAAGTCAATAGTAAATTAGGAAATTGTTGTGCTTAATATTTGCTAATAGATGATGAGGTTCATGCCCTATTTACACTCACCCGCAGAACGCTCCTAAAAGATGCTAGTCACGGCGCTATTTGGAAGTATGTGGGGTTGATTTATTACCATACATATATATCTGTTACGTATAATACTAAATAAAACAACCACACAGAATAACTTTCGTATCTCTCACACATTATTGCCATATCAACAAAGTGCATCACAATCCCCCTGAGTAGTACCAACCATTTAACTGAAGATATATATTGTATATTATCATATAAACCGTCACCCTACAACAATCTTAGCCTAAAATTAGCCTACATGTAGCCTTTATTTCGTTAGTTGTAAGAGGAGTATATTAAAATGTAAAAGACTCCTCTAAGCATACGATGGAACGAATATTTTTAGGCGTTAAACCTTGGAGGGGCTGTAAAAGAGGTACAGAAGAGAATGTATTACTTGAAGAGAGGCATCCTTGATATACAGTCGGATAAGACCTACGTATCCTGTATAGTCATAGGCCCACCAAATACATAATAAAAACATAAAAACTTCCATCTTGACATTAGCTGATGGAAATTGTTTTGGTGATCGATATGGGACTTATGCTAAACTGATCTTTCATTCCTTATCACTTGTAATAATCTTGGCTTAATGCAATACCAACAACGTTTCATGATACGAATACTAACTAAGGTAGAACAAATCATAGATTTGTTGAGGTATGACAGTATGACGTTACCTTGAGATTGATGATATTTTGATGAAAGAAAAATCTCAATGTAAGTCAACATTAAAGAAGAAACCATGAGGATGTCAGACTAAAAATGTACCCTAAATTTGTGAAAGTGATATTGCTGGAAACAGCTAATAAAATTCTGTACCGGCGGATCCAGTAACACGAAATGCAGTTATCCCACTGGAATTGCCTTCATTAAAATATATTGGAATAAGAGACGAAAAAGCCAGGTTCGTTGACCGTCCATGTCCAGAACGCCATGCAATGATTTATGTGCCCGTCAATACTCCATGTAAAGTCGTATGAATAGTTTATTATTCATCCCATAGCTTTTGGTGTCTGTTGGGAGAGGGTTGTAAGAATTAAATAATCGAACTCCACGCTCACGCTCATACCTATGCGGCCCAAACTCCGGTACGCAAATCAATTCAATGCCAACATCTGAGCCCTACGAATCGAGCGAGAACATACTCTTTGTCTCGTCCAATCCGAAAAGAATCTCACTGCCAAATGAGGAAATTTCGGGTAGTTTCAGAAAACTTATGTTTTGCAGTTGTTGGCTGTTTCCGTTACTATTTTTTGAGTTCTCCATATTGTTACTATTGTTTTCATGTATAATATTTCCCATAGCATACTCTATATCAAACTTAAGATTTAAATTCTCATCAACAGGATTCTTGGCTTCAACCTTGGGCGTTGTGTTGCTTAGAACTTGACTCAAAATTTCCTTATCACTCAATGCGATAGTTGGACTCAGCTCTGCCTCACTAACTACATCCTCTATATCTTGAATCGAATGTCCATTAGCGATGGCATTGTTTCGTTCTAGAAATTTTCGTAGACGCTCAATCTCATATTCCCATCGCTCATTTAAAATGCGTACGACAGCATCGACATCGTGTGGAGTCATTTCGCGTTTTGTTGGCTTGCTAACTCCTAAGTGGTGTAGTGTTCGCTGAACACTCGAGCGCACACCGCTTGTACGATTTGTAACTGTAGTACTGCGCCTTGTCTCGCAAATATTAGCATTCATACGTTTTAAACTTGTTGCTTGATCATCCTGTAAAAAAGGCAATTCAAGTATTGTGTTGTTTTTAGCCACTGCATTAACAATTGTAGTAAAACCTTGAAGGTTAATGTCATTATGCTCACAGAGGATATGAGTAAGCCCTGTGTTTTTTTCAATGACCGACGAGAGCGTGTTGGCACCTTCAAGGCCTAAATTTTGATACTCTATTCGCAATAGTTTGAGTGTATCATTGTACTCAAGGCCTGTGAGTGCATGATTTAACCCAATACCAAACCGAGTAACCTCGAGATGTGATTGCTCACCAGAAATATCAAGCTCTTCTAAAGTCCGGTTACTAGCAAAGACTGCGCGTAAACACTCACAAGTCTCTGCCCCGGCATCGTCAGGTAAAGATGCCTTTGAAATGTCGAGACACTTGATGGTGGTGTTTGTTCGAAGAGCTTGGAGAAGTTGTCTAAAGTGATCTTCTTTAGTGAATTCAATCATGCGAAGATAAAGTCGATTTGGTGTTCTATTTGCTTTGATTGCTTTTACAATCTCACCTATACCTTTTTCGACACGATTTCCACTTACATTGAACTCAAGAGCTCGTCCACTTTGACCATCTCGTGCCATAGAGTGCATTAGAATTGCAACATGCTCGCCTGACAAATTACACTGCTCCATTTGTAAAAGACGAAGATGGTCTGACATCTCACTGGCTAGATAAGTTGATACTGAGTCTATTGTTTGCTCATTTAAGACAATACCGTTCAAATAGAGTTCCTCAAGTCTCCATGTTACTATTACTTCGGGTAGAATTAACGGATCTTCACCCGACGTCCATGATGTTCTTGATAGATTCAAAGATCTAATGTTCGTAAAACGGCTCATTGATCCCTGAAATTTTTGGAGACTTATTCGACCTGGATTCCCAGAGAGATCGATAAGCTCAAGGGTAATATTCTGACGCTCAAGATGCGTAACTAACTGCATTATACCTCTATCCGTAAGATCACAACGTGAGAGCTCGATTGCACGAATCTTTGACTGTGGCTTGTGTAGACCCGGGACGAGGAAGTCAAGGTCAGTCTCTCCTAGCTCAATTCCGCTTAATACTATCCACGTAACATTTGTAATTTGATTCTGACAAAGTGGAAGCAGAGCACCCACTATTTCACACCCAGGATCCTGGTCCATTTCGCCTCCCTCAATATCAAAGTTGTCTCGCGGCCTTCTTCGAGGCAGAGTATTTGTAAAGTTCATTCTCCGAAGCCTGGTTGATTTCAATGCTAGTGCCTGTATTTCTTGATATAAAATTGACTTCTCATGAGGTCGAAGATTAAAGTATTTTGGAAGAGAAATTCCGGATCGAGTCTCCAACGTCGCATTTTCATTACCATATATATCTATGGTTCCATGCAAACTATGAAGGTCAATATCCTTGAAAGAGATTGAACGGAAGAACTCGTTGTAACGTAACGCTCGCATGATGGCGAGTAGTTCTGCCCTTGAGTACATTTTGGAATATCGAGGTCTCCAGAGTTGAAATTCCGGCGCATCTTCGGCTTCCCAGTCAACTGCATATTGTATATTTGTTGGTGTTACTTTGTAGGCTAGACAATATGCCACAAGAGTTCTTTCAAAACAGTCAAGGTCTTCATTATTATGATCAGCAGATTCGCTCAAGAAAATAACGTTCCTAGGACCTGAGAAGTTAAAATTATGATCTTCCCAAAGTGGTTTTAGATATTTCCATGCTTTAAGTAGACTGATTGCAATATCCGGGGTGGCCGAGGCAGCTAGATCGAGTACTTCTGCTGGGCTTAGTGGACTACGGAAGGCCACTTCAAATTTATCATCTTCATATGATAATTTTAGATCAACCAGTGATACAATGCCATAGGTGCAACGATTACCCTTTGGAAAAACTAGTTGGCCAGAGGAGCTGCTAAAATCCGGTACAGGAATAAGATGAACACGATTTAGGCCCACCACCAAGTAATAAACTGCGGAGCCCAATTTTTGTAATTCATCAGAGGATTTGGTTTTTGAGGCAGAAGCTCTTCTTACAACACGAAATATCTGAAAATGTGTAGAGTCGTAATCCTCTTCTTTCTCCAAGGCAAAGACAAGATAATTAATAACACGAGGCGGGTATGACTGTTGAGCAATCAATCTTGACTTCTCGGCAGCTCCACGAATGGAGGTTTGCCACAGCTCTGCCTCTTTTCGATCATGTAGAATTAGTTGTATGCTACCGACACCATGATATTCTTCATCTAAATAGACTACTTCAGTAGTAAAAAATGGTTTTCCATCTTCAGCTTTGATCACACAAACAATCTGCGCCAAGGGAATACGATTTTCATTATCAGAACTGGTATGAGATCCTGTAGACTGCACATCTTGTACTGAGCCAGCAGATGTAGAAGATTTTTGTCGGACAGAGTTTGAGCGACCGCCGGTAGGCGGGGGTATCAAAGGAAAATCATCGGAAGCGCGGGAATAGTTCTTAAATCGAATTAAATGCGTGTCGGTAAGCACAAGGTATTCTTTTTTTTTCCTAAACATTCCGGTTGTAGTTTGTATCTCTCCATGATAAAGTACTGTTTTGTGACTGGGATGTAGACGAATATCTTGAAGGCAAGTTTCAGGCGCTGATGTCGTCATGTCGGAATCTTCGTTGTTGACAGATCTCTTGCCGAGTGATCCAAAGACAGATAGTGGTCTAGCCTTTTGTTGCGTTTTCAAACGTGCTTTTGGAGATTCACATCTTTCAACCTGTGTACAAGAAGTCCCATCTTGACTGACGGGTAAGCTACCAGTCGATCCTAATCCAAAGATTGATGTTCTTCTTCTTAGTTTTTTTTTTAGTTTCTTGCTACTTTCTTCGGTGAGTCCACTATCTTGCTCGGTATTTATCTGAGTGAGGCCAGCTAAAGAGCCTCGTGAAAAGAGGTTGAGGCTCTTCCGCCGGCCCCCTGTTGTTTCTTTAACTGAAGGCGCCATTGCGGCTCTCACAACTGATTTTACTAAATTTTTGTTTTGATCTGAGAGCTAGAGATTATATGGAAATCAACTATGAAGGGAGATCATCGCCGGACCTGTGCGTTATGAACAAGTGAACTGCCGAGTGGGTCAGCCAGATGTAAAAGGATTCAGATCTGATATTCAGGCTAAAGGCTAAAACCATACCAAAGATAAAGATTTGCCTGGGGGTAGATAAACTAGTAGATTCTAATTTCGTTGTAGACCACGTAGACTGTTGAATTTGATAAACAATTACGTCGCTTTTCCGATGTTCCAAAGAGAACTTAACTTTCGCGCCCAAAAATTCAGATCGGCGACGACAATATTGTTGTCGAAAATCGCGGGTTGATAAAAGGGAAGATCAAGTGAGGCGCTGCCTCATGGCTGGCTGATCAATAGGCAATTGCGATGTCTTCCAGACCATAGCCCTAGCAGTATAAATCCATTGAACCGTCAGGTTCCACGTTACCGGCCTGCAATCCAAGCTCAATCTTGGAAGGGGCAGGTCAAAATGATTGTAAATGGATTGAGACCGATAGTTAGGGTCCAATGTGTAATTTTGAGAGTACGGAACTAAGATAACTATAAGGCCATACACATTGTGATCCATGCCAAATTCTAAGCAGCCTAGACGAATTTACTAGCCAGGGGGGGTGAGGGGAGAAATTTGACCTGGAAATAATTTGAAAATGCGAACCTTAAGGAAAACTGCCCTGACCTCCTACCTCTAACGCGCGAACTGATTGGCGGAATATTACCCAATTTTCATGAACCCCCTGTACCATGTAGTATCCCCTCGGCAATATTATGCCGATTTGGGAAAGTATAGAAAAACTACCTCATGGGTCTTTCTATGTCTTTAAGACTCTGGTCCTCACAGGATAAGAGTAAGACTTAACGAATCGACATCTTGTGAGATAAAGGTATATTTACAGTGTATTCATCGTCATTCCTAGAGATTTTATCAATAGGTTTGGCTGCACGAAAACTATGGAGACTAGTGCCCATTTTTGATGTGCAGAGCCGTGCTATGTTGGGGAAATCCTGAACTTGGACCAATAATCTTAACTCCGGATGTTCGACTATAGAGACCGTTCTAGCGGGAAAAATAGTTGGTGTCGAGAAAGGACCAGTTTGCCATGTCGGAGATTACCATGCCGGCCCTTTCGTCCTTAATTAATAATCCGACGACGCCCTTGACACACTAAACCAAAGTCCGAGCACCGTCTCATAAGGGCAATTTAGTCTGCTCGGTTTGAAAAAGAGTTTTGCTATGAGGAAGGTATTCCGCACTTGTTTTGGCCTTCTACAAAGACGACGTCATTTTGGGGCTCCTTTGACACAAACACATACTTTATCTCATCTGGTCTACTACAATTTTATCACCTGTCAGTCCGAGTAGTGAAACTAGCTGGCCTTGTGCGCTCATATATTTCTCCACAAAAATATACCTGAGCCAACCATTTATCTAATTATTATCAACGTAAGCCATATCTTCTCCAGAGCTATTTATCCCATCATTATTTTCCCCTACTCGTACTACCGTGGCAGTTCCTTTAACAGCATACCCGCCCTGAGGCCCCTCGATCCACAGATGCCATGTTGATTTCCCCCCTGTTTTAGCTCCTATTTTCACACATATTTTCATATCCTCTTCGACATAAAGCGGGGCAAGATTTCGATAGGAAAAAGATATTATTCTAGATTTCTCCAAAAGCTGTTCTGTTAAGACCGCAAGCATAAACACAACTGTCAAAGGTCCTTGCACAATCATACTTTTCAATCCCTCAACCTCACGGCAAAATACATCATCGAGATGTATTCGATGAGCATTGTAAGTGAGCGCTGAAAACCGGAAGAGAAGTGTCCGAGTCGGCCGTACTACAACGCTGTAGTGGGGTTCCATTCTTGCTAAAATACTGTCAGTTACGATTTTGTGAATGAAAGCTATTGGAACAGACGTTTCTGAGCATTTAGCCTCTCAGTTATCACTCCGTATTTTTTTCTTCTCATAAATACCACTGTTCGATCTTCACTTAGATCAAGAATTCCAGTATGCTGGTCGGTAATTTTCCGGTTTGTAACAACATATATTTTCTCATTATCCTGCTCACCAGTGATCCGGACATCAATTATCTTTTCTGTGCACATCATTTTAATTTTAGGGAACAAGTTCATGGGCTGAGCAAAGTTGATAGTACCACCCACCCAGAGTCGGCGCTCAAATGGTAGTCCAGGTGAATGATAATCATCTGTGCCATCTGGAAGAAGATTGCGACAAGCAACATGCGAATGGAAATATACAAAGTGGTGGCCTAGTGGGAGGTAAAACCTGTCGTCCTTGCTCCTGGTTTCATCATCCTGATATTTCCCGATGAAAGGAAGATAGCTCGAGAGTAAGGTTATAAGGAGGTTAGAGGGCGTAGGCGACATATGATCAAAATAGGTAATAGCTGGACGGGCAAGTAGCAGTTCCCGGAGAGATTTCTCGAGTTTCTCAAGAGTGTTGGAACCTCCAACGACAATTGTTGACAGTCCATCATTTTTGCTCGCGAACATTGTACATTTTTTGCCAGGTATCCATGTTGTAGGGGTGATACGGTTTTTTTTTTCTTCTAATTCAAAAGATTTAGATTTTTCGTTATGCGCTTTTATTGTTACTCCTGATAAAGATAGTGAATCTTCGCTAGAAATGTTTTCTCGAGGGCTTTCATTTATTTGATCTAATAATTCTAGGGGACAGATGCTATTCGATTGATTCAAATTATCCTCTCTCTGGAGGGGAGCCGCATCAAATCTCCCTACATCAATGAAGTTTTTACTCGGAGGCGTCAATGTCACCTGATTTTGGGCTGTTAGCCTCGAGTAAAGCCGCGGTAGTTTAATCTCATTTGAAGGCCGAACCCTTGCGATAAGGCCACTTGTGTCATATCTTGAAAATGTTAATATATTAGTGCGAAATATAGATGACCATGACTTCATGTTAATCTTTTTAACAGTCCCCATATCATTCTGGTAACGAGAGATTGTGTTCATACATTAATTTATGTCGGAATGAGTAAGTCGCCGGCGGAAAGCACATCAATTCTACTTGCATGGGAAAAGAGCATCCTGCTAAGCGAAATAGCAAGGTCTTGAAACTTGGATTGTATATAGTGGCTTATAGCACTCTGCAGCATTCGTTACGTTGGTCAGATGGTGCGGTGGTATAATCTACAACCCTTTTTAAGGTATGGTAACATTATACATAGCCCTTTCTGTGCACACATGTTTTTGTTTTGTTTTGTTCATTGACGTGCTAGGTTACATGACTACCGTTGTACTCCTACTGGAGCTTAAGCACGAGTGGGGTTGGGCCAGATCAGGTTAACTACCGTAAAGTAAAGATATACCTCGTCCCGCTTTAATGACCGGACCACCCCAGACTTCACCTATGTGTTGAATCAAACCAAGCCTTACCGTCCAGAAACCCGCTGTATACACGCCGTAGGGCAATTTCCTCCTCTGCCTCGGCCACCACGCGCCCGAGTCCTTGACATCCTCGTTAACTCCGAAATATGAATGCCGTCCAAGATCTCATCGTTGCTCTAGCCTTGCACCTTCATATCGTACCTTCGTGTTGTTGTCGTCATTGGAAATTTGCGTTATCCCCTCGGTGTATCTTCCCTTTTCTTCATCCTTTGTACACGTCCCGTTTCCATCGTGACTTTCCTCATTAGGGCGTGCGTAGGTAGGTGATGTGACGAGTAAGGAGGTGGGTGGCAGGTGTAGGTAGGCGTGTGTTTTATTGTACTACTTGAGTCTATGACTATCTAGCACATTGGGCTCCTCTCTGACCCAGGCCACACCTTGTACAGTGCTCTTATCCTCTTTCGTTACTTGAAAGATCATTGATATATTGCCCGTGATGAATAGCCATTCAGCTCAGTTTCTACCCATGGAATTCAGCCACCTTTTCCACGGAACCTTCTACCCAGAAAAAATAAAAATGGTAGCAATGGAAACTGCGTGCGCGGGAGAAAGTCTCAAAAAACCTGCATCCCCAGCCAAGTGAGACCTAGACACTGGGACCATATGAGGTGCGCATATTCATCTATATGTCCCTTCTTTGTAACAATCGAGGCCGACTTGATGCAATCCAACATCGCCGTATCAGGTGCTGGGTACGCTCCGGAAGCTCATTGGATGGCTTTTCCTCCATGATCAAGGGTTGGTGATGAGAAGGGCTTCGATATACCATTTAATCTGATGGTGGTAAGCTTCATGATAATGTTGACAGGGGAATGTGTTGAGAGATGAAGATGATACAGACGGCGAAAGCGATTGGAAATCAACATCGAAGTGAGGACTTTATTACTCAATCTCGGCTCTGCAGACTCTACAGCGAGAGCTGGAGGTTCGTAGGGGACACCACTGACAGGTGTTTAGAATAGTCCCCCATTCCGGGCGCAAGATAAAGAATAAAAAAATATTCATTATCCTGATTTAGCGCCTTGAGGCCCATGCAGGTTTATCGGAAAATATGTACTTTAAGTAGGTTGACTTAATTCGACGTTTAGTACTGTTGGAAATGGAGACACGGTGTGTTGTGGACGTACAGGCCCTCCATTTCGTCTAGGTTCCCGACACGATCTTATGTGTATTCAGGAGGTTGGAGTAGGTAATATGGTAGCGCTTCAGGCCACCTATTGGATATGTGAGCGGCTGTATGGCGTGGGCACAAGGAGGTAATTGGGGGGTTTCCTATGCCCAGATGGCGCCACACCCAGATGTCAAATGGAAATACCACTCAAAGTTGACCCTTATGGCGTATAACCTATTCCGTGCATACCCACCACAGGGAAAAGCGTGGAAACCCGGTGGCTAACCGAGTGTACTTTCATCATTTCACAAGTAAACACTACCGCGAAAGGAAGTGGTGTTTGGGACTGACTGGAGTTAAATCAGCTGTCTCCTATCACAAATTGAGTATGTGTACTAGCAACCCAGTCTCTACTTTGGAGAACGGCCCGAATGGTGTACCATTGAACCGTCCAACAACGGATAAGCAATACCCTACATCTACAGAGGATATCATGTATTAATAGAAATTTAATTATATCTAGTCTTGAGCTCTACTCTACATATTTGTAGTTTAGAGCCACGAGAAATCCGTAATCTACGCCATCATAAAGCTAAGCTTATTTCACTTTTCACAAATTCTAATCCGCTAGAAACCTCATAGGTACCAGACTCCTCTTAATCACAGTAGATAACCCATGCGGGATCTCCTTTGAATGAATAAAAGCTTAATCGTGACGGGCACAAGCCCTGCACTCGGAGGGGAAGACTGAACATCTATACGCGGTGTCCTCTACGAACCTGGGAGTGAAATATTCTCCCAGAGCCGAGATTCAGTCTAAATTCGCAATATCATACAAGTTGGCCCACGAGGCAATGATTCAAATTACTCCACGTCGTTTTTTCGCTCCTAACGAGTGACTCCTACCTTAGTCTCATCAAATCTACAAGTACGACCAAGTACATCTTCATCACAATGACCATAGCTCTCTTTGACTCTCTCTGGCCTTAGTTGGTCACCAAATACACGCCCAAGTCGATAATTATACCCGACGGAGGAAGCGAAGTGTGGAGCACAATTTTGGGAGATAGCTCTTTGGGACGGACGTGAGAGGGATCAGGGCAAGTTTACAAGATGATGCAGAAGAGGGATACATTCTTGACGGGCGTGGAATTTCGAATTTCGGAAAGAGTTTTACGAATTGAGCTTTGTGCGCGCCAAGACTTCGCTTGCGAGAGTGTAGCTGACACTATAAACACAAGCCAACGATGGAATGTGTTGTGGTCCGCATCCTGGTGGTGTTCTCTGGTATGGTTTGAGTAGCCTGGGAACCTACACACTTGGGAAAGAGACACCTCAGATCACATATCGCGCGGAGAAAAGTTGAAATGTGATGGAGGCATGTCTGGATAACTCAGGGGTTTTGAGATGTTCCCCTGGGTGGGTATTCACGGATGAGGGTTGACTTGGGGTGAAGAAAAAGCTGCCATAACTTCGCAGTGGTACTTGCAAATGAAATCTGAGGCATGAGTACTCTTCCTTTGCGTTGAATCATCTATTCTGTACTTTTCTTTGATATTGTGTCATAGCTAGATAGCTGCATACGCAATTCAAATCTGATGCAAAAAGAAAGCCCTGCACTCAAAGAGCATGACACGGAGAAGGCGAGTCCTTCCCCAACGACTATATACGACAATAACTCAGTTTGACATTTGAACTACTCATCTAGTGGGTGCAGTCGTTGATACCACTCGAGATCTTGGTGCTAAGTACTTTCACTCTTGCCTCAACCGTTAATATCCATCAAAGGGAAAACAGGAAAAACCTTTGGCTACCCTAACATGCCTTTGCCATCTTGTATATAGCCGCCGCACGAGATATGGCCTCACAGCCCTCCCTTTCTCGAGCGAAGTAGGTGTCCAGGCTAGCCAGACTTTAATTCGGGGAGATGAAGACCAATAGGCGGACCAAAACACCTTCCATCGTTGCCTGTGTTTAGAGTGTCGGTTGCACTATCCGAAATCGTTGCCTCTGCACCCACAGACACCCTTAAGTCGAAAATACTCAAGGAAGTGCGTCTAAGCATGCTGATTTGTGACTTCTTCACTCGATCGTCCCACGTCCCAGCTGTCTGTCCTCTCTCAAGATATGAAGCCCCATTAATTCGATGGTTCCCCATAGACCAAGACCCGAGCTTAGTAGATTTTGACTTCAATTCCCCCTCGCGGGTATACATAGCATCGTAAATGAGTAGTGGGAGATGGCCAATTTTGGTGGGGCAAATACCCGATTGCAATTGGAGTAACGCCATTATCGGTATTTGAGGTGAGGTGGTGTAGTAAGATTGAGGTGGAGGACTCGCGTGAGAATGATAGGTCGGACTTTGACGAGAAGTCGTCGATTTTAGATGTGCTTGTGATTGCTTTCGACTTCGATTTGGACGCGATTCTTCTTGGCTATTCCAGATATGCAGAGCACACTGAGCGATTAAACCGGCACTACTGGGAGTTGAAGAAATCGTCTTTGCCGGCTGCGGGATCTCCTATTATCAGCAGTAAACAACGCTAGTACAGGGTATACGCAATCTCCGTACGCCAAACACCAGTCGGTCGGGACTACTAATTATCGAGCATAGTAGGATCGACAAAGTGTATGCCAATACAGAAATAATAGAAAACTCAACAACCAAACCCTTCATCAAAACAATTCGAGAAGCCCCCAATTCGCCCATTCCCACCCTTTTATCCATCTCACCCTCTGAGGAACGAATCGAGTCGCAATTGTTTGCCATCGGCGGCATTTTAAAATGCCTCCGACGCGTAAAACGCACCAAAACGCGATCAGCGGCATCACCAAAGATCGCGCCAACAAACCTTATCAATGGCATACCGCCATTCAAAACCACGCAAAAAACATGCTATCAAGGCGAGGACTCGAGTCCAATCTTCAAAACATGAACACCATCGCGGCTGCGCTCCAAGCGAAGGAGAACGATGTCCCCGAGGTAGATATGGTGGACGCAGAAGTCGAGAAGTTAAAAACCCTCGCCGATTCAGTTTGGGCATCCTCCAGCCCAGAAGACGCAGAACAAGTCTTGGATCCCACCGGATCCCCCAGAAAAACCGTCGTCGCACCCGAGAAGCGCATCACGGTTCCAGCACTACCGCGTCCTGCAGAAGTGAGGCCCGCGAAAAGGGCTGAAATACCATCCACTAAGGCAGCAGGAGCCGAAAACCCTCCACTGACCCCGCAGCCTCCAGCACTAGAAGCAGCAGGCGGAAAAAATACATACCCTCCAGAATTGCTTGCAGCGATCGAAGCGGAGGAGCGCAGGGCAAGAAAAAAAGCCGCGCTATTCACAATATGCTCGACAGCTATTAGCGGTGTCGAGGCAGCTCTTCAACCGTTCTCCACCGGTGAAGACAAAAATTTTGTAGACTCGATCAAAGTCTACCTAAGGGCAGCAATCGCGCAA